CATTTTTGATTAATAAGGTAGTACACGTCTGTATATTTATTTTAGTTACTATTTAGATTTCTTGATTAATTACTAGATACCTGTTATTTTGTAGTAATTTCCCGATGCTCAAGTTTTATGTTAATTAGAAATTGATGTCTCAGTGTCTTTATTAATTATATTTTATGTAATATATTACTTTAGTTTTGACATTGTTTTGTTGCTAAAACTTAAAGCTTTACTTCCCCCTTTTCATTTAATTACATCTCGTTGTTAAGTACAAGGTTTTGTTTATGTACTACACATTTATACATATTAATTTTTTTCTGTTTTTTACTTCACACTTTAATAACTTTTTTCATTTGTGTGACCACTTTCATTGCTAATCTTTTATAAATACTTTTAACAATGAAAAAATTAACATATAAATAAACAACCTAGAAAAAAAAATCTAGGTAAATTTTATACACGTTTAGGTACTGTAACATAAGAAGATTAAGCTTTTTAGTGTCAGCTAAATGCTCCTTGATTAACTTATCATAAGGTTCAATGCTACTTTGTTCAATCCTAATAATTAGGATTGATCAGAAAACATCTTTGGAGAGAAAAATATTGTTAAGAATTCTTTAGAAAATGCATAGTTTACATTTTTCATATGGGAAGAAGGGCTATGATTTTGAAAGTAAAAAAATCTGTATTTTTAGGAACCATATACAGGATGAAAGGGTCCGTTCTTTCTGTGGCATTTCTTGATAGCAGTGGTGCTCTTATTCCATACCTTTCAGAATCTTGGAAGGATATCAATCGCAACAATAACAAAGAAAAGGATGACAAGAGAATGAGTAGGTGACCGTTACTCTTAGCCACCCATAGTTTTATGTAGATGTAAGCATTTCTGGTATTTACATAGCTATAGACGTCACTGATGTTATAATATATTTCTAAAGATCACTTGGTGTGACGTAAACATTACTGGTATTATAATGTATATCTAAAGGTCACCTGCAATGTGATGTAGACATCATTGATGTTCTAATGTATCTTTAAAATTTACTTGCTGTGTTATGTGGCTGTAAACATCATTAGTATTGTTATCTAGATGTAGTTGATAATGTAGTTGTAACTGTAAACATCATTAGTATTGTTATCTAGATGTTGTTGATAATGTAGTTGTAACTGTAAACATCATTAGTATTGTTATCTAGATGTTGTTGATAATGTAGTTGTAACTGTAAACATCATTAGTATTGTTATGTAGACGTAGTTGATAATGTAGTTGTAACTGTAAACATCATTATTATTGTTATCTAGATGTTGTTGATAATGTAGTTGTAACTGTAAACATCATTATTATTGTTATCTAGATGTTGTTGATAATGTAGTTGTAACTGTAAACATCATTAGTATTGTTATCTAGACGTAGTTGATAATGTAGTTGTAACTGTAAACATCATTGTTATTTAGACGTAGTTG